GTCAATCCATCTCATGTTGGGTCTTCCTCTTTTCCTGCTGCCTCCAGCTTTTCCTAGCATTATTGCCTTGTCCAGTGACTCTTGTCTTCTCATGATGTGACCAAAGTACCATAGCCTCAGTTTAGTCATTTTAGCTTCTAGGGAGACTTCAGGTTTAAATTGATCTAGATCTGCGGTGGCTCAAGTGGTTAAGACGCTGAACTGCAGGCTGTGGAAGGTCAGTAGTTCAGCAGTTCAAGACCCGGGTGCCTCATGATGGAGTGAGCTCCCGTCTCTAGTTCCAGCTCCTGCCAACCTAGCAGTTCGAAAGCAAGAAATTGCAAGTAGATAAATAGGTACCACTTCGGTGGGAAGGTAACGGCGTTCCGTGCGCCTTGGTGTTTAGGCATGCCGGCCACATGACCACGGAAATGTATTCGGACAGCGCTGGCTCTTCGGCTTTGAAACGGAGATGAGCACCGCAACCCTTTACCTTTACCTATTACCACTTATTTGTCTGTTTGTCAGTCTATGGTATCCTTAAAACTTTCCTCCAACACCACATTTCAAAAGAATGTTCTTCCTGTCAGTTTTCTTCATTGTCCAACTTGCACACCCATGCATAGTAATAGGGAATATTACAGTATGAATTATCTTGATCTTGGTCACCAGCAGCACATCCTTATGCTTAAGGAGCATTTCAATTTCCTTCACACCTGTCCTTCACACTCTTGATCTTAGAAAGACCTTCAAGGCAGTTTTATTCAAGAAGACTTTTGATATATTGAGAGGATTCCGAGTAGTGCACACTCGCAGCATATGCAGCTGGATACTCCCAAATGTAACAACTAGAAAGGATTACAGTTGGATAATGTTTTTGATTTGCTGTGGTTTTAATTGGATGAGTGGTTGTGGAAAGGGCCATCAAGTTGCACCTGACCTAGAGTGACGCTATAGGGTTTTTAAGGCAAGAGATATTCAGAGTTGTCCAGACGGCACTTTCCACCACCACATTTGCCAAGTGCCAACCATGAACAGACCTATGCCATTGCACTGAACAAATCACACAGGGGACACCTGTATATATTTCGTGTTTTGAGACTTTGTGTGTGCTGTCCCTTCCTAATGTAAGACTTGCAAGCACCCGTATTTATCCTGCAGAAACTTTGTTGATTCTTGATCAACATGTCAGTTATCCATAAGATGTATAGTTAGGACAATCAGCTTTCCTGCACTAAATTCTGACATAGATTTTCTCTTTAATTGTAAAAGGTTGCAAACCTCTGATATCCACTTCCCTGAGCTCCTTGAAGAAAGCTTGGGATAGTTTGGTGTCGTGGTTAGGAGTGCAGACTCCAGTCTGGGAGAACCAGGTTTGATTCCCCACTCCTCCACATGCAGCTGCTGGTTGACCTTGGGCAAGCCACAGTTCTCTCAGAGTGGTTCTCTCAAGAGCAGTCCTTGAGAGAGCTCTCTCAGCTCCACCTACCTCACAGGGTGTCTGTTGTGGGGAGAGGAAGGGAAGGAGATTGTAAGCCACTCTTGAGACTCCAAGTGAAGGGCAGGGTATAAATCCAATCTCCTCCCTCTCCTCCTCCTCCTCTTCCTTTCCCCGTGATTGGTCACTGGACAACATCCTGAGAGAATTGTGCACTGTCAAGTTGCAATTGACTCATGGAGACCCCAAGAAGTTCCTCCTCATGGGGTTTTCAAGGCAAGAGATGAGCAGAGGAGTTTGCCATTGCCTTCCTCTGCATAGCTTCCCTGCACTTCCTCAGTGGTTTCCCATCCAAGTCAAGGGAAAGAAAGACAGGTTAGAAATATTGCAGTAAAAAAAAAATGAGTATAGCATTTCTTCCTGGAGTGTACAGGGAGCTAAAACAAAAAGAGCCCCAAAGGCGTGGCTCCTCCCTATCTGGTTTGTATAATAGAGAAAGCCACAGATTTCCCTCATTCTTCTCCCAGTCCCTCCGTCAATTTGATCAGGTGCTCTTGTGAGTAACTTAATATATATCATTGTTGCTCTCCCTCCAGGGTGTTTCATAATGCTTATGGGCATCTCTGTCGCTCTCCGTCCAAATGGTGCTCTGAGCCAGAGCTGCTTAGCTTTGGCACTACAGCTGTATGATGGGGCTTTCAGAGCATTTTCTGGACTCCAGAAAGAAGCCACCAATGGGAATGGAAAGCAAATATTTGAAGGCAGGGTGTGTGTGTTTGTGTGTAGTGGTTAAGTGTGCGGACTCTAATCTGGGACAACCGGATTTGATTCCCCACTCCTCCACTTGCTCCTGCTGATGTGACCTTGGGTCAGTCACAAGCTCTGGCACAGCTGTCCTTGAAAAAGAGCAGTTTGTGTCAGAGTTCTCTCAGCCCCACCCACCTCACAGGGTGTCTGTTGTGGGGAGGGGAAGAGAAAGGAGTTTGTAAGCCGCTCTGAGACTCCAAGTGAAGGGCGGGGTATAAATCCAATCTCTTCTTCTTCTCTTCTATATATATATGTGTTGAGGGAATAGCAGCTTCTCCTCAGCTTCCTTCTGTCACTGCTATTATCCTTTGGGTTCGCCAAACAAGACTGCCTGGAGAAGTGGCAGATCTTTGGGGCATTCTGCCAGCAGTGTACTCAGTGGCCACTAAAAAGGGGAAGGTCCTCCTCTCACAGGAGGCGCTGTGTTATATCACCCCTATTCGCCTCTGCTCTGAGTTGCAGGCAACGGGGGCATTTCCAGTGTCCTTTTTTTTTTTTTTTTGCTTTTGTTCTCACAGTGTAATTAAAATGTTGGTTAGGAGAGCCCTGCTTCACGCTACTGCTGTGAGAGGATTTAGGAGCTGTTGGTCATGGCAGGACTAATCCAGGCCAGAAGGAAGAAATCAGGAAATGACTTAGCGGGTTGGCTGCCGTTCCTGCAGTTCCCAGAAAAAACATAACACAGATACACAGGAAACTGTTAAATTAGAAAATGTCTTTATTAGATAACTGGCAGTGGGACTCTGAAAACCTCATTTTGTGGATACTTGGCCTTACTGAAGCGGCAGAAGAGTGTGCGAACCAGCCTCGCTGCCTACAAGCAGCCTGTTTTTTTGGCGAAAGCGGGAACAAATAACGAGATTTGGGTTGGTGATGATAGTGTTAAACGTTGTCATTGGGGTGTGATCTTTATGTCTTGCTCCCGCTTGAACGGAAATAAATAAGTGAAAGGGGGCTAGTCGACTGGTATAGAGACAGGATTACACAAATGATCGCAACCATTTCCCGTCATGGAACAACACAGTGTCAGCTCAAAGTGGGAAACAATTCCACAAGATTTGCCAGAAAAGAGGGGAGAGTTGGGGGAGGGGTGAAAGACAAGATGGAGGAGAGAGAGAGAGAGAGAGATTCAGGTGTCTGAAACAGCAAGTGATGGAAACAAAAGCCAAACAGTGACTGGAAAGGAAGTGGGGTGGGCGAAAGAGACGCTCATCGAAAGAGGAGCCAAATGAGGTCATTACATTAAGGGTGTGTTCTTGGCAAATCTGCTGGCTAGATATTAAAAAGGCTGCTGCAGTGATTCACTCGTCCTTGCCAGGAACTGAGATTCCAAGCATATACACTCAAAGTGTAGAATTTAGACTCCACATCCATGGCTTAGTATTGATCTTTTTCCCAAACAGACAGGGATACAGATCCAATTTGATGGGTGGTTGGGGGCGCCGGTTGTATTTCTGTACAAGAAAAGGAGTTTCTGATATGTTACAGTTGCTCAAGAACATTTTTTCAAAAAGCGTTTCAGAAAATGCACCGTGCTCCAGCCGACTTGGCTCTGGACTATCATGAAGGCCAGACAGACAGATTGTTGTTTTTCAGGCTCCACAGATGATTTTGCATTCTGGAGAGGGAAAACATGCCAAAGACAGCTGTGCTTGAAGTACAAAATATTCAGAAATATGTTTTTTTGGGGGGGTGATAATAAGGGCCAAAATGGCACATGACATTTGAATTCCGTGACTGGAATGCCAGATGTATAGTTCACCCCTAGAAAACCGCCATACAGCGCACTGTTATGAATTGGGGCTGACACAATGGGGAAGGTTCGTTCTACACAAACACACACACACACACTTTTAAAGATCAAAATGCTCCCCTCCCCGCTGCTTTTACCCTGGTAAACAAAACATGGGCACTTAACTCTCCCCCCCCCCCAATCCACCACAGCTTAAAGCAGCCCAGAAGAGGAAAGAGGGGTATTTTTGTTCAGGGAAACGATACAAAGGGAAGAAAAATTAAGCCCCCGTCTTGTCCAGCCCCAACTAATATTGAGCCCCCTCTAGCTGCTTTTTTAATGACAAATTATACATCTGAGTTCCACTTGTAGACTTCCAGGATCGTGCGTGCTTTGGCTCTGAAGTTACATTATAGAGGCCACTGACTTGAGGTGAGGGATCTGTGCAAAGCCAATGGATCAAGTAATGTCTGAGGGGTTGAGATTAAGGGGCCTCGTGTCGCCAGGCCAAAAAGCTGATGCTGTTCTTGGGGGCTAAGAGTACCTCATTAGATCTTACAATTTAACCGATTTTTTTAAAAAGTGCTGGCTCGCAAGAGGCAAAAGGGAGGACTTGACCCTTTGGATTAGCAGACTCAAATCCCTCATTTTCCTCTACCATTATCTGCTCCCTATAGCCCCATGTGGTGAAAAGTTACAGGTTCTGCCAGACTTGATTTATTATTTTATGTGTGGAGACTTGGTGGTGGACAGTGCCGTCAAGTCACAGCCAACCATGGCGACCCTGTAGGGGTTTTCAAGACGTGGTTTGCCCTCGCCTGCCTCTGCTCAACAACCTGGACTTCTTTGGTGGCCTCCCATCCAAGTACTAACCGGGCCAACCCTGCTGAGCTTCCAAGATCTGATGACATCGGATTAGCCTGGGCTATCCAGGTCACGGCAGTGGGGCAGACCTGCATTTTAATGAACAGACCTGCCATTGTCCTGTTTTGCTTAGCTGTGTGCTTATACTTACGATTGTTCTTCCTCCTGATACTTGAATAGGATGCCCAGAAGGTACCTACGGTCCATACTGCAGGACATCATGCAAATGTCTGAATGGAGGGCGTTGTGATCCTGTAACCGGAGCTTGCAGTTGTCCTCCTGGCTTCATCGGAGCTGACTGTGGTCAAAGTAAGTTAGTTCCCTTTGGTATCCTGGCTACAAATGCTGACCCTCAGCCCTAGACAGATTTTGTTTATAAGTACATTCCACCAGTTCAGGCAAATGGTCATGTACAGGCTTTAACGCGCAAGCTGCTGGTTTGATTCTATTGCTTTTCTCCTGTACCCCAAAATAAGGGGGCTACGTCTAGCAAAGCTTATCTGCCACTAAACATTTGGCCCATGTTACAATAGGCAATCAGAGGCCATGAGGGGAGCCGGTGTGTTGCAAGGGCCTGGAGTGTTGGGCTGGACTCTGGTTCGGATCCTTTCTTGTCACCAAATAGCTGTGAGGAAATATCTTTTTAAGTATTCAAAATACTCTGCCTTTTGGCACAGTTCAACAAAAGGCTGTCAAAAATGCTGGGTTTGACTCAGAATCTGATAAATAACTGCGAGGAGTTAAATTCTAATGCCTAAGGGAGGCTTCTTGCTTAAAACCAGGGCTCATTTTCTCTCTGCCTGGGCTTCCCACCACATAGACAGGAGCCCTTGTAAACAGGGAATACCACATCTATTTTTAGCCACGCATTCATTTAGCGCACCGGCACAAAATATGGTATGGTAGGCAGATGTGGACCACTAAAGCAGTGTTCAAATATGTGCTTATTTGCATAGTAAGGATCATTATGCAGAGAAGAAATGCAGCTGAATCTGTATATGAGGCATCCAGAGTGCAAAACGGCATTACAGAATTGCAGTGGCTTTAATATCTGTTCCTTGGGAGCCCTGGGAATTGTCCATCTTCTTAGGGAGAGATGGAAGGCTACGCATCACCAACAGACTATTTTAGCACTTTGCTGCAACTCTCAGGATTCTTTGGGAGAAGCCATGACAATCAAAGTGTCATGAAGTCAATATACATTTGTAGTGCAGACATGGACTCAGTTTTTGTGTTTGACGGATGTTCGGTTATGAAGGGAAAAAATTGCCATCAGATCAACACCTGACTTATGACAGCCCTATAGGGTTTTCAAGGCGCAAGTAGCAGTGGGCTTCCTTGATGGTCTCCCATCCAAATACTAACCAGGGTTGACCCTGCTTAGCTTCTGAGATCTGCCTAGACTGGGCTATCCAGGTCAGGGCAAGAAAGACATCCTTACCACTAAATAGCTTTCATAACCAAGCTGAATTTCTGTCCGGCGATAAAATCCAACAAGAACTGTCATTAACAAAAGTGCCCCTAGATTCAAGTTTCAGTGGTCATCTGGTAAACAGTGTCATGCTTTCCTGCAGCTTGTCCAGAGCATCACTATGGGCAGGATTGCACCTCGTTCTGTTCCTGTGTTAAGGGACACTGTGACCCAGTGACTGGCAAGTGCTACTGTCCTCCTGGCCGAATTGGACCAAGTTGCATTCAAGGTAAGAAACCATCAGCTTTTGATGTGTGACAGCAAAATAAAATATGAAATGGGAGTAGATGGTTTGTGCCTGCTTTCAGCCCCGTGCCAGAATTTCTACAGGGCTCTGCATGCAAAGTTTTACAGATAGCGTGGACTGCCTAAAAGACAAATAAGTAAGTTCCTGGTAAAATCAAGCCTAGATTGTCTCTGGAAGCTAAAATGGCTAAACTTGAGGCTAGCATACTTTGGTCACATCATAAGAAGACTTGATTAATGTACCTTCTGAATATTTATCTTATAAATAAACGTTATTTGTTTAAAAAAAATAAGAAGACTTGATTAATTGGAAAAGGTAATAATGCTAGGAAAAGTTGAAGGTAGTAGGAAAAGAGGAAGACCCAACAAGAGTTGATTGACTCAATAAAAGAAGCCACAGCCCTCAGTTTGCAAGACCTGAGCAAGGTTGTCGATGTTTTGGAGGTCATTAATTCATAGAGTTGCCATATTTCAGAAGCGCCTTGATAGCACATAACACAGGCTGCATATAAAAAATTGATTCTGGTAATGAACACTTGCTCTTTCATTGCTACGATTACCTAACCTGTCTTTCCAACCTTTTCCCATTATCTCTCTCTCCCACCATTTGTTGCAACGTATGCACACCACCCGTTCCTGGCCAACCCATTGTGGCACCTCTGCACAGAAAGGATCCTTATTAAAAGAATTATACCCAATGTAACTTCCTGTTATGACCTTTATAAGGTCATAGGAAGATTCTTATCCTATTTTATAAGCATCTTTATAGAAGAGCTTTTGCTGACTAATTTCTAAATGAATTGGGTTTTGTCCTATGAACAGAGTAGAATACAGGACTTTCCCACCACCTTCCCCATTCTGCTGTACCCCAGAGAACCTCCTAAAATTCTGTTCCTAGAGGTCAGAGGAACCTCATGGAAAGAAAGTTGGGGTCTGAAGTGGGAGGGGGAATCAGCAAAAGCGGGGTGGATTTTAACAGTCTTTTAATGGTTTTGTTAATTTCTTCACTCCTTTTTCTGCCAAGGAGGGCCATTTAGATTCAAAACATACTGGGGCATGTGTCTGTCATCCCATCAATAACCCTGACTCCACCGATTCATTTTGCCATCTCTGTACATTTCTATAGCACAATCCCCTTCTTGTACCCGAAGAAAGGAGTTGTCCGGGCAATGAATTCTGATTGCGTTTCTGGATCAAAAGACTGTTTTACTGAAGCCAGTATTAGTTATACCACATAGAAAACTTCAGTTTGAGAGTTGTTGGGGTCAGGGGTTGTTTCCCATTTCTGTTGCGTCCATTTTATTGTTATACTATTTTTTCTTCTTAAAAAAAAAGCTATGTTAATTTACTGTAGTGTGTCCCCAGGGAAGATATGGCCCTTACTGTCAGCTAAAATGTCTGTGTCAGAATGGTGGTGCCTGTGATCCTGTGAACGGGACGTGTACCTGTGGACTTGGCTGGACAGGAAAATATTGTGAGAAAGGTACCATTCTATTTTATCTCATTTCACTGGGCAGGTACAGATGTCCATTTCACCATCTACTGTAAAATTACCACCACCATTTCAATGGTACAGAGGACCAAGGGCCAAACTAGGCAATCAAAACTCCCACCCCAAGCCACACTGTTAACCCTGGAAGGGAAAAAGAAGCATAGAATCATAGAGTTGGAAGGTACTTCCAGGGTCATCAAGCCCCTGCACAATGCAGAAAATTCACAAATACCCACACTCAGTGAAAAAGGTGCTTGTCTTTTTTTTTCTCTTACGACAGTAATAGCAACCTGGATGGGAGGATCTTTTTCATTCAGCAAAACCATGCCAGGGGTGGGGCAGGCTGAAATTCTATTCCAAATGGACACCCCGTGTGGCTGCTCATTTCTCTGTGTTTGGAGGACCTGTTCACAGATCTTCCCAGCAATCATGTCTGCTTTTGTTATGGACCCTGGCCAGGGACTCCATAGGTTTGCAGAAGTTCCCAAAGAACCAACACGTGAGATCCAGGTTTACTTACAAGGAGATCTTTAATAACCCATCAGAGTTATCAAAGCAGATTCAGGCTAAGCTTCAGTCAGCTGGCCCCAAGAGCCAATGTTCCTCTAAGCTCCACAGTGTTGTGAGCCGGCCTTGGCTGGGAGGGCAGGGGTAAGAATCCAATAAATAAATAAAAAATGCTACCTTGTGAGCGAAAAAAGCTAGTAGCATTAAAGTTGTGAGCAAGTCTACATTTGACTATCGCATAAATTAGTTTTTTAGATTATTTCTATAACCTTTTAAAAATCTTGGAATGAATCCTTTTAAACTACATTTAAACTATGTTTTAAGAATATAGTATTATAATGGCAAAACAGAATCAAGTCTTATAATGACAAAACAATCGAGTCAAACTTCATTACAGAAAATGTCCACTACTGGGGTAGACCAGGCCTCCAGAGAATAGGTTACCTGGCTCTTTCCTGCCCCTTTGAGAGCCAGTTTGGTGTAGTGGTTAAGAGCGCAGACTCTAATCTGGGAGAACCAGGTTTGATTCCCTACTCCTCCACATGCAGCTGCTGTTGTACCCTTGGGTCAGTCACAAGTTCTCTCAGAGCTGTTTTCTTAAGAACAGTCCTCGAAAGAGCTCTCTCAGCTTCACCTGCCTCACAGGGTGTCTGTTGTGGGGAGGGAGAAAGGAGATTGTAAGTTGCTTTGAGACTCCAAGTGAAGGGCAGGGTATAAATCCAATCTCCTCCTCCTCCTCTTCTTCTTCTTGGTAGACCTCCGGAGAACAAGTCTACCCTCACCTTTCACTATATTGTTAAACCTGGCCTCAGACTGTCACCCTGCACTTAGCCTTCAAAAACATACCAGCACTTGGGGGGGGGGGACCCTTGCAGTCTACTTTGGGTTTTTTTAGTGAAATATGACAACTTACAGGTCAACTATAATAGAGGTGGAACAATCACTGTCAGAATCCTACCTAACCTAACAAACAGGAAGTTGCTTAAATGTTATCAACCTGCCCAAATTACTTATGTATTCAAATATTTATATCCTGCTTTTCCTGTGACTCGGCAGCTTACAAATCATACTGAAAAGTAGTCAAGTCAAGTTTATTAGTACGGTCAAGCGACCAGCCAATAGAACGTTTCCAAGAATAATAATAAAATACACAATAAATACAGAAGTACCTAGTAAATACATACATCAAATATATATAAAACCTTTAAACGAATACAGGAACAATACAATATATCATTGAAACACACCAATACAACGCTAATTTGTCATCAGATCACTATCTAAGGTATAAGCTTCCTCTTTTTAAGGGCCAGAAAGCAAAATTTTGCCACAGCTAAAGATATCCTCTCTATCCGGTCTTCCAGCAAAAAAGTTAAAATCCTCAGTTCCGCAATTTTCAACTGAACATCCAAGGGTTTGAATTTGGACAACAATGGAAAAATTAACAGCTGTCTCTCCATAGCATAAAAGTTACAATGTAACAATATATGTGAGACTGACTCTATTTCAAGATTTGTACACGGGCAACATCTTTGGGAACTAGGCCAGCGCCGAAACCTTCCTTGTAACAAGTTAGATGGCAGGGCATCAAAACGTGCTCTAGAAAAAACCCATCTATAGCTGTCATATATGATGTTAGAAAGATATGGAGCGGGGGCAAAACCTGTCCAGGATTTTAAGGCTTTATATCTTAAGGGTAAGAGCGCTTCTTCCGTCTGGACCTCTATATCTATTAGGCGTTGGGTTACTATAGATTTAGCTTTTGTCAATCCAAGCTCCAAAAGACTTGCAGGATGAAGCCCGATTGATCCAAGCTTGCCTAATATTTTGGAGGACCATTCAGGATATGGATTGGCAGCTAAAAAAGATCGAATTAGGCCTGTAGGCTTAAAGTGCTTTCTTAACCAATACAAAATTGAAGCAATCCAGATTTTCGTTTCTATTTTTGTCACCCCAATCTCCTGCCTAAGAACTACATTTGCTGTGCATTTAGGCGCATTAAATAATGCTCTAATAAATTTAGATTGAACTTTTTCCAGATCCTTAAAATTATTATCACTTAATGTAGTTACTTGCATACCATATGTGAGTTGGGTTAAGACCTTTGCGTCAAATAATTTCAGAGCCGCTAAAATTACACCTTGGCCCTCCTTCCTAAAAAATCTGATAATAGCATTAACATTTCTCTCAGCAGAACAGATTGTAGAAGTTATATGGGCTGAGGAGCTGCCATTATAGTTGAAGGTAACCCCTAAATACTTATATGTTTTTACTTGCTCTATAGAATGTCCATTGATTCTCCAAATATCTTTCTTATAAGCCCTGTTAAAACGAATAATCTTGGTTTTGGAGTAATTAATTGTTAATAATTCCTCATTACATTTCCTACTAAAGGTTCTTAAGGCCCGTTTAAGACCAACTCTAGTTTGGGACAGTAAGATGGCATCATCCGCGTACATCAGTATTGGAACCGCCTCTCCTCCTGAAAAGTTAGGGGCGTGGACGTCTATCCCATGAAGAGACTGAATAAGGGAATTAACATATATATTAAACAGGGAGGGGGCAAGTAGACAACCCTGTCTTACTCCCTTCCGAGAGGGAATAAATTTTGATAACATTCCTTCACCATTACATCTGATTTGTAATTGCGTATTCTCATGGACTTTAATCATCAGATGCAGAAGTCTTTTATCTATGGTTGAGCAGTTCAGTTTTGCCCAAAGTCTACCCCGAGATACAGAGTCAAAGGCCGCCTTCAAGTCCACAAAGGCGACAAAAAGAGATTTCTTGGCAGCTCTCATATATTTTTGAATAAAATAGTCTAGCACAAGGCAGTGGTCGAGTGTTGATCGACCATGGGTGAAGCCCGCCTGTTCTTTGCTTAGATATTTATCATGTTCAAGCCAGTTATGTAATTTAATTTGCAGATGTCTAGAGTACAATTTACCAATAGTGTTTAAAAGACTAATCGGACGATAGTTGCTAGGGTCAGACCTGTTACCTTTCTTATATATAGGATTTATAATTGCAAGTCCCCAGTCTGTAGGAATCTGAGCAGTATGGTCAATATAGGTAAAAAGTCTGGCCAATAGCGGTGACCACCAGTCCACATTGCTCTTGAGAAGATCTGGGGGAATAAAATCACTTCCGGGGGCCTTCCCATTCTTTAATTGCTTAATCATTAGGGAAAGCTCTTCTGGTGTAACCGGGGGCCAGGTTGGCAGGGTCTCTACAGGGTCCATCATGGGAGAGGTCATCTGAGGATCACTATATAACGCCGCAAAGTGTTTCTCCCAAATCTTAGCGGGAATAGTGTCTACCATCGTAATACTTTTATTCCTATGCACTCCGGACACAAATTTCCAGAATCCCACATTATCTTTGTTCTTAGTTATCTCTATTAAGGTTTGCCACCTAGATAATACATGGGCCCGTTTTTTTGACTTTAATAAAGCCTTATAAGCTTTTTTGCTGAGCTGGAAGTCATTTAATTTATTTGGATTTGCCAAAGATGCCCTACAACTCACTATAAGGTTCTGCTTGGCCTGAAAACATTCTTGGTCAAACCACCTTTTATGAAAAGTCTTATTATTATTATTTCGGGACGTGTTGGATCTCGTTAGGATCGGCTTAAATAATTTAATAAGATCACCATAGAGAGCCAACAAGATATCACTTTCTACAGGAGAATTTATAATCCTGGAAAAGAGTGCCAAGCCCTCCATCGAGTGCGATCGTGCAATACATTCCACATTAAGTGCATTATTCCATTTATTTTTGATCTTAATATCAGCAATCTCCTCATTTTGGGTCATTCTAGTATACAAGTTTGCCAGTTGGGCTTCGGAGACCCAGCTAAAATTTAACGGGAAATGGTCACTTTCAGGTCTTGAATCAACCTTAAATTGGGACATTCTTGGGAGTAAATCTCCTGATATTAAAATATAATCAATTGTAGATCTTTTATGTCCTGAACAAAATGTTAGTTGCCCCGGATAGTCACCCTTCACTGAACCATTTAAGATATATAAATTCAGTTTGGAAACCAAGTGAATCAGACATAACCCAGAGATGTTTAACCCCGGATCTAACGAGGCACGATTAAATGTAAGTTGGTTGATTTCCAAATCAGGACAGACAAATTTATCCAGAAGTACTACATTATTAGGACCCAATCTTGCATTTAGGTCCCCCCCTATAATAAGCATCGCATGTGGAAATTTTTGGACACAGTCCAGAATAAACTGTTCCACCTCCTCCCAGATTGCTCTTGTTAGATCCCGGGACGGTTGTGGTCTCAAATATAAATTAATGCATATTATCTTATGTCTGCGGAAAATCATCACCACTGCCACTGCCCATTTGTGTCTACTGTTAAGTTCAATAATAGATATGTTCAGAGAACAAGAAATAAATATTCCCAAACCGCCAGAAGGTCTCCCCCTTTTTTTACTAGGAGAGGCCGAAGTTAAAATGTGCTTATAATTAGGAATAATAAAATCACTGGTCATCCATGTTTCCTGTAAAAGGATTACATCAAATTGAGTAATATAATCTAAAAAGTCCTGATCCATCCTTTTGGAGGACCAGCCTGCAATATTCCACGAAATTACTGAAAAGTATAACAGGGGTATGCAAAAAAATCTATTTTTTTCCAGCTTCATTGTAGCCTATGGGATCCATTATAGTCAATGGGCCCCATAGGCTATAATGGAGAATCAATCTCGGGGTATCTGGGGCTCTGGGAGGGCTGTTTTTTGAGATAGATGCACCAAATTTGCAGCATAGCTGATGGTGCCTTTTCT